ATCTCACTCCTAAGACCTGGCAGGACATCATCTGGCCTGCTGTGCAACTGTGAACACAGGCACATTGAGTATTTGGTTAGTAAGTGGTTTTTCAAATGATCTAGAACACATTAACTTCTGAAAATTATCATTGAAAAGAGAAACAAAATTTGGAGACTCATAGAAAACTTGAAAAAAAAAAAAGACAGAAAACTTGAGAACTCCTCCCATGTTACTGATTTTCACCACTCGTTTTTCCTAATGCAATTGGCATCACTTACTACTGGCAGTGCAATGATCCAACCACAAGTAGAAACTTAACCAAATGAGCATTCCCATGGACTACTAATACTTAAGACATCAGATATGCTAATTGGCTCTACTCATCTGAGAAGGATATTAAAAGAACTTGTGGGAGAATGCCGTGTCTTACTCATCTTCACACATTTCTCTGATCCACATGAGCAAGTTTCACTCAACAACCAAAGGAATTTGAAGAACAAGATGAAAGAATTTTTCAAGATAAAGGAGTTTCTGGAGAAATTACATATTTTGGGGTTCAGCAGTACTTACAGCTCTTAAATTTGTTTCTGAAAGGAAGAAAAGGAGCTTGGCACTGGGTCTGGGACAAGGTCCCGTCACCGTCACCCAATCAGCCCTCTGGCCTACACCCCCTGAAGTCCGCAGCCTGAAACTCCTGTCTGCCTCAACTCCACTCTGCATTCAAGAAACCAAACTCCTACTGACTTCCAAAAACACTGCTGGGCGTGTGGACTCTCATCCTGTCCCCGAGCTGCTTGTTGTTCCTTCCCCAGGATGGTGAGCCTGGCTGCTGAGGTCTGACCTAAAGCTTCATTTCATTTTGGTTCGTTGTTTATTTTTGAACAAGCAAGAGTGCCCTCTTGTGGCAAAATAAATTTGTGCGTTAGCTTTTCCCAGTTGGGCTATACAACTATGAACCCACTCTAACTTCTTTATTATTAATTAAATCACAGCCACAAGCAAATGCAAAGTGATGCCAAAATGGTAATGGTGTAAGAAAATATTTTTCTAAGTAATATTCATTTATTTTTTCTTTTTGAATATAATACTGGTGTGGGAACGGAGGAGTATAATAATTTTCGAGTTAGAGTGATGGTCCTAAATGTAAGTAACTAATAGATGTACATGACTTCATTCATTCAGAGGATGGGGACCTAAATGTAGTCCTTCCTAGGATGGCTAAGCCTTCAGAAACTTTTCACTTGGTATCAATTGTTTGGCTCCCATGATAACAGATTTGAGATCTCTCAACTAAGTAGGCTGCAAATTTTAGTTCAAAACATAGCTCTTACAAGGCAGAGTAGGAATTAATGATAGTTTAAATACACAGTCCAGTCTACTTACTACTTCAGGACATAGGTTTTTTTTTTTAAAAAAAAAACTGTATATTTGAAATAACTCAAATGTACTTAAAATATATATTAAGATATACTGTTCCCTGTTTGCCTGCCATTCTTTCCACATATCATTTTCCCTCCCCACTTATTTAGTAATAAATTCGGGGCATATATTTGCATCTATAAATATTACAAAAGGGATTTCTAAAAGGCAAGAGCTCCCTTTAAAGATATAATCATAATATTGCTATATATAAAAATGCCCTAAAATCATAAAATATCAAGGTAGCTGCTAAATTCCCTGTGTTCTGATCCAGATCTTAATTTTTTTTGCCCTCTATATTTTTGTTTAAGAAACTGAGATAGTGAAGCTCTTACAATACAGATTTATCTGAATGTGTCATTCTGATGTGTAAGGAGTGCCTCTGTCCTTCGTGTTTACTGAATTAAATCCTTAGGTGTAGGTAGATAATTGATCAGATTCAGCTCAATTTTTTGTTACATAGGCAGTAATGCAACATGTCCACTAGGAGGCACTGTTGCTTTCTTTGGAGACTCCAGCCCCTGCCATCCCTCAGTAGGTACACTGGTTTATTAAATGAACTAACTGGCAAAATCTGTGATATTGTAATTCTGCCATTTTTTTTCCTTTTAAAAATAGCTTTTAATACATATTCAAAGACATTTCCATTATTTTGAGATGCAGTTTGTGTAGAGAGGGTAGACCATTGTATAACTTCTTTTTCACAACAGATTGACTTCCTAATATCATCCAAAAGTCACAAATGAAATTTGCTTTAAAATTATTTTAAATTCATGTATGTTAACATCTTTAATACCTTTCAATCCGTGGAAATCACAGTACTCACTGCTACTCTAAGTTTTCCATTGCTGTCCAGCTGAAGGCTATTTGGGTTGGCTACTGAATACTTTCGACATGATGCTACTCCTCTTTAAAACTTCCCCTTTATGATAATGGCAAGATGTCCTAGGATTCTTTCACATTCTCAAACCCAAACAAACCTGGAACTAACCATTTTCCCAAGCTGATGTTACTGTAATATGGCCTGGGGACCCCTGGAAATTCTTGCAAGGATAGAATTATATCCATATTAATAGCACTAAGATACCATTTTCCATTTCAAACTCTTCATCCTCTCACAAATATACGTGGGTATAGTATAGTATAGTATAGTATAGTTGGTATAGTATAGGGGGTTAGTGTGTGACGTTAGGACTGAATGCAATAGCAGTTACAAGAATATTGCCTTTGTTTATTAAGCCAGATCTTCAAAACATTTTCAAAAAATGCAAAACTATATTCTTCTCTCTGAATTTTGCCAATACATAAACAGTCATTTTACAATGTTCTGATTTCTAATACAATAAGACTCAACAGGTAAAAGCTCTCTGGAGTCCTACACACTTTTTAAGTGTTTACACAATCTTTGGAGCAATACATTTAGGAACTGTGTCTTCAAGGAGACTGGCCCTATAAATGAAAAATAAGATTTTTAGACATCACAGGTGAGGAACTAAAGATGCTCTCGGTTAGTAAGTTGGACATTTTGAGGGCACTAAATTACCAGGCAGAGCTGACAAAATTATATATATATATACCAAGATACAGTACATCATAAACTCACACTGATTCTTCCTATTCGAAATTTAGAACTACAGCTTTTTTTTAATTAAATTCATACAGTTGTTTGTAAATTCAGTTTGTGTGTGTGTGTATATATATATATATTGCACATATATGTCAGTTATCTATTTTGAAAGCGAAATTTACAGAAATTTTCCACCCACTGATTTACTGCTCACATGGCTACAACAGCCAGGTCTGTGCAGGATTGAAGCCAGGAGCCAGGAACTCATCCAGGTCTCCCATGTGGATGGCAGGGAGTCCCAGGGACCCACACACTGGGCCATCTTCCACACTTTGCAGATGCATTAGCAGGGAGCTGGGTGGGAAGTGAGCTCGGACTCAAACAGGTACCATGTGGGATGCTGGCATACTGGACGCATCTTTACCTGCAATGTCACAATTCCATTTCCCTTAATTTATATGTGTATTAAATTTCTCCCATATCATGCACATTGGTTCTTTATAATACTTACACATTTATCTTCTATGACAGAGAACAATATCACCACTGACTGCACAGTTGTCACCACTAATATGGTTTCTTAGGATAGCTGAAGATGTTTTGTGGTTCTGTTCTGGAAGTTTATCTTTCTCTAGATGTGCAGTAGGAATGTGAAGGTCTAAAGTTATTTGATTGTGTCTTTGAGATTATGCTACCAAGTACATCAGTTAGATACTTATTTAATTTCTGCATTTTAGGGGATGCATTTGATAATTTTTGATTCATAATGACACAGAACACTTACTGGTTGGTTGTTTGCTTATTTGCACATTTTCTTTGTTTCTCCCTTTATCTGAGGATGAGGGGAGATCAAAGGAGAAGCCGCATCCAGCCTCCCAACTGCCTCAGTACCCAGAGATGGGGAGTGGCCACCCCATGTCCTCCCGGGGTCCCCACTGTGGAGCATGTTCTGTTCTGAGGGTTCTGCTCAAGTGGTTTCGATAGTTCTGAGATGCTGTTGATATCACTGCTCCAAGGATGAGGAAACAATTCCAAGGTTAATTGGCTGCCACAGTCCACCTCAGAGTCTCCATTCACCAAGAAATTTGTTAAGTTTCATCGGGGTAGTTGATCAGTTTATTCTGCCCTCCTTTCTTTGCAAATCAATGGGTGCTGTGGCCCAACCCTGCCCTGCCCACACTTGGGGAGCTGCAGCCCAGTCAGAGTGACCCCCGATAACCTCCCATTGGACTGGCCCTAGCTCTGGTTCCTGTGCCTGCCAGCATGTGCAGGGGGCTGGTCCGGTCTGCAATACATACTTGGTTCTAAAGACAAATTTGTGATATAAGATATAGTCAGAGAAGTCTTCTTTATTCCATCCATTTCTTCCCACAGGTAGTATTTTTTAAAAATTTGTTTTTACTTTCATTGCTTTCAAAACTGGAGGAAATATTACAAAGCTAACATTACCACCACCTTTCCTGTTGGGAGAAAAGCTACTACATGCAGTTCTCTCCACTTAAGTGTTTCTCACTTACAAATATATTCTGGCATTCCCTCCAGTCATCTAGAGCCCCGAGTTAATACTCTGTGTTAGTACTCCATCCGCTTGTAGTTTGACAGTTTCTCCAGCCAGCGCTCTAATCGGGAATTTGCAGGTGGTTTTCCGTGTCTTGCTATTAACACATACGGCAGTGAACAGTCACACACTTTCATATTTTTACCACCGTATTTTGGAAGCACAGCTTTACAAGTGAGGCAAAGCCTCTGTGTAACCTTGTTAGATATTCATCTCCACAGACTCAGCCAGCTACAGAGCGATCGGGGGAGACGGAAGCAAGGAATTTCTCATCCGGACGTGACATTCGCCGAACCATACTTGTTCATCTTTCCAGCTCCCAGCGCATAAGTTCTTCCTTATTAGACCCTCCAGTCCTTCGGCCCTCAGCCTAAACCCACCCACCTCATCCGGACCCGAGGAACAATTTACAGCCTGTGCGCATGCCCAGGCCTGGGACGACGTTGGCGTGATGTCATAACCGCGCGACGCTCCCGGGCGTCCTCGCAAGGTCGCTTTGCGGAACGGGGACGCGGGTCTTTGACAAGGGACAGGTTTGGGGGTGCGAGGTGTCCTTGCTGCCTCGGCGACATGTCGGGGTACACGCCGGATGAGAAACTGCGGCTGCAGCAGCTGCGAGAGCTGAGGCGACGATGGCTGAAGGACCAGGAGCTGAGCGCTCGGGAGCCAGTGCTGCCCCCGCAGAGGACCTGGCCCTTGGAGAGGTTCTGGAATAAGTTTCTGCAGAACGAGGCCCCTTGGAGGAAGTTGGTGAGTGACGGGCGTCCCTGTCGGGGCTGCTGGCTGCCACACCAAGGGCTGACAGCCACACCAAGGGCTGACACCGTTGGGCGAGGGAGAGCCGGGTTTAGCAAGGACGCGATCTCCGTTGCAGGGTCCTGGGCTGGGGTCTGGGCGCGTGTGGCTTTGGGGCGCCCTAGCCATTCTGCCGTCAGGTGTGGAGAGGAGGCGGCGCTGTGGAAAGCCCTCAGGATAGCTTGAAGTTGAAGCTCAGTGGGTTTAGTGTTTGGGAACACACGATTAACTTTCCACGCTGGAGGCACGGCCCCTGAGGGCCCCGAGAACCTGTGGCTGCTGGGACAGCCACCGACCCCACGACACCGAAGGTGTGCTTGACGAGTCATGCTCAAAACCTGCCTTTTCAGGGTCCGGCGCGGTGGCCAAGCGGCTGAAGTCCTCGCCTTGCACGCACCGGGATCTCAAATGATCGCCGGTTCTAATCCCGGCTGACCCGCTTCCCTTCCGGCTCATTGCTTGTGGCGTGGGAAAGCAATCGAGGACAGCCCAAAGTTTTGGGACTCTGCACCCACGTGGGAGACCCCGAGGAAGAGGCTCTGGGCTCCTGGGTTCGGATCTGGCCATTGTGGCCACTTGGGGAGTGAATCAATGGAGAGATCTTCTCTGTCTCTCCTCCTCACTGTATATCTGACTTTCCAATAAGAGTAAATAACTCTTAAAAAAAGAAAACACCTGCCTTTTCAGAACCGTCTGTGCTTCTGAGTCAGTTATGAGTGACAAGCGGTAGCCCGCAGAGTTGCTTTCCGATACGTATGCAGTTACGCTGGGTGCCTGCATTCCACCTGCAGTGTTAGCTAGCGTGCTGTGTTCATTATTCCCTTAAGATAGAAACTGTGGTCTTCATTTTAAGTGGGAGGTACTTTAGCCCCAGAGAAGCACAGAGCTAGGAAGGGAAGGAATTCAGGGTGAAATTTACATATGCCTTTAAAAAAAAACCCTGCTGCATAAGTAACCTAGTACAACATAATTTCTGAGAAAATGGGCCTTATATTACAGTGATAGAAGTCAGCTGTTTAATTTCTGCATCTCCCTCACCTCTTGTGTCTCTAACATTGCTTGTTGATTTGGAGCCATCCCTGGCTCACAGTTGACAGCCTCTCTGCCAGCCAGTGATTTAAGCAAGTAAATAATCGTTTGTTGAAATCTATCTTACTTCACATTTTTTCTTAAGTTATCCTCTGTTATTCTGCTTAGATCCTAGATTGTCCTTCACTTGAAAGGACAGGTGGGTTTTGGTCAAATTGGCTGCTGTGGAGACGTTTTGTGTTGCAGTTTGAGAGGCAGGAGACAGAGAGCTCCCATCTGCTGCTGGTTCACTGCTCAGATGAGCACAGCCGCCGGGGATGGAGCTGGGTGGGGAGCCTGGGCCTGGGCGGCAGGAACCTACTTGCTGGGGCCAGCCCCATGTCTCTCATGGTCACAAGAGTAGGAAGCTGGAGCCCTGAAAGGACTTGACCTGACATATGTTATAGCTTTGATTATTCTGATTATAAAATTTTAGAATTTATAACCATTTTTTATTAGGAACAAACTTATAATAAGGATTTTTTGGAAGTCTTTTTAACTATATATGTATAAATGCCTTTCTTTAATCTTAAAAAGATTACTTGTCTTAAGCTTCATTTGTTCTGGACCCTGTGGGTATGCTGTAGCAGGCTCTGTTTATTTCTTTAAAAGGAAATGCTTTATTTAAAAGGTCTTTATTTTTACTTGATAGGCAGATTTACAGAGGAAACACACATAGAGAAAGATCTGTTCACTGGTTCACTCCCTAGATGGCTGCACACAGTCGGAGCTGAGCCAGTCTGAAGCCAGTAGCTTCTTCCAGGTCTGCTGCATCAACACCTTGGGCCAGCCTGCAGTGCTCTTGCAGGCCTTAAGCAGGGAGCTGGGTCAGAAGTGGAGCACCTGAAGTACAAACTGGTACTCATATGGGATGCCAGTGCTGCAGGCAGAGGGTTAGCTTGCTATACCACTATGCTGACTCCAGGCCCCGTGTTCAGTACAAAAATACAAATTGGCAAGCTTAGACTGTGAGGAAACATGTGCCATTTAGAAATTTGTTAAATAATATCATGATATTGTTATATACATATATTGTTGGTGGTTTTATTTTGTATATGTGTTTTTCCCCCACAGGTCTATAAAACATACCGGCACAGCATCTTTGTTTTCACTCATGCACTTATACCTGCATGGCTTATTCATTATTATTTCAAATATCATGTGAATGTAAGTATGTTTTAAGCATGTATTTGCAAGAATGTCGTTTTACTATTTCTGAAAAGCATTTGTTGGTATGCCATATTCTTACTGGAAATAGTCTGCTACTTTTAAATTAGTTTTGAAGTACTTCAAACCCTTTTATGTAAAAAGCTTTCTAAAACTTAGGTAATTCAGTATGAGTTTTCAAAAAACTAGTCTTTGAATTAGTATACAAGCTTAAGTATATTTCCTCATAGAAAGAGTGTTTAATGAGCAGGGTATAACGAACCCACTACTACCTGTGTAAACTAGGGAAGATGAAAATTCGTGTGTGTTACGAGCGTAGACCTGGTATAAGGTGGAATTCCAAATAGGCAGTGGTTATCTTTGCCTTCATCCCATTTATTTTCCTCCACTTTCTCTGTTTTTTGTTTGGGTTTTAGAATTTAGAATTTATTTAGACTCTAGGATGTCCAAAAGTTCTAAGCTTTTCCCTGAAAGATCTTGCATAGACTGACTGAATAGAGCCAACTGCCATGTTTTAGAGTAAGGACAGCCCCAGATGTTGTGGAGTGTTGGATCTCAGGCAGGGGGCAGAGGGCGCGTGTTTTGGGGAGTCGCATACAAGGGGGAAGCAGTGATGGCTGCCTGTGCGCAGGTTGGGAACCCGCAGTAAGGAGGGCGTTCTGCCACCTGGGGGCTGCAGGGGCAGAAAGTGAGCATACCTGTTTGGGGAGCAGCTATGGCGGTACGTGTCCTGGTGCAGGATGGTGGGACCTGAGCAGAGAGGAGAACACGTGGACGGAAGTGGTGTGGCCAGTGATGGAGTGGCAGGCCAGAGGAAGGTATCAGAACTTAGGGAACTGAAGAGAACATTCAAACTGAGGTGTGATTGTCATGATCAGAAATTGTTTATATATAGGGAAATTAATTGATCAGATAAGTTCATGTTTTCCTAATGGGGTTCAGGATTCTCCATTAGAAAAGGGAAAAGACCTTGAGATGCCAGAATAGAATTGGGGGTATGGTTTCATTAGGTATGGATAGACACAGAAGTAAACACAGGTGTAGGTATGTGAATGTATAAACATAACCATTTCCTAGCTCTGTCCCCTGAGAAGACCTGGGAATAGTGGTTTTTTGTTTTATTTTTAAGATTTTATTTATTGGAAGATGGAGTTAGAGGGATTGACTGATTGATTACTTCCATCTTCTGGTTCATTCCCCAAATGGTTGCAAAGGCCGGGCCTGGACCAGGTGGAAACCAGCCATTCTGTGTCCAGTTCATTCTGTGTCTCTTGGGGGTGGCCAGGTCCAGGTACTTGCGCTGTCTTCTGCTGGTTTCTGGTGTCCTAGGCAGGGCACTGGATCAGAAATGGGGTGGAGTGTGTGTGATAAGGGTGGTACTGTGGTATAGCAGGTAAAGCCACAGCCTGTGGCACCCGTATTCCATATGTGCACTGGTTCAAGTCCCAGCTATCCCACTTCCGATCCAGCTCCTTGCTAATGGACGTGAGAAATCAACAGAGGTAGTCCAAGTGCTTGGGCTCCTGTACCCAGATAGATCTAGAAGAAGCTCCTGGCTCCTGGCTTTGGTATGCTACAGCTGTGGGCAGTGGGGCCATTTCAGGGGGTGAACCAGTGGATGGAAGATCTCTGTCACTGCCCGTCTGTGTTTCTGTAACTCTACCTTAGAAATAAATAAATCTTTAAAGGAAAAAAAAAGTGGAGTAGTGAGAACTTGAATCAGTGCTCACATAGGAGGCTGGCATGATAGGCTGCAGCTTAACTCACTGTGCCACAATGGCAGCCCCTGGATCTTATTTTCTGTGCACATTTCTCCACTGAAAGGATATTTATCTCTTACGAAAAATGTCTGATTCTAGGGCTGGAACAGGGAAAGTAAAGGATGAGAATGTGATGCGCCAGAAGTCCAGAAATGCCCAAAGAATGATGGGGACGTATCAAAAGGAGATCGAGTTAGGTTGGAAGAATTCCCACCCAGACAGTTTAAACATCAAAATAAATGATGGTAGTAATAGTTGGGAGTCAATGGAATAAAAAGGTGAAAACACCCGAGTCCATACTGGTATAAATAAATGAGTTAAAAAGTGAATACAGGGCCCAGTGCCGTAGCCTAGCAGCTGAAGTCCTCACCTTGCACATGCTGGAATCCCATTTGTGTACCAGTTCTAATCCCGGCAGCCCTGCTTCCCATCCAGCTCCCTGTTTGTGGCCTGGGAAAGCAGTAGAGGATGGTCCAAAGCCTTGGGATTCTGCACCCGCATGGAAGACCTGGAGGAAGCTCCTGGTTCCTGGCTTTAGATCAGCTCAGCTCCAGCCACTTGGATAGTGAACCAGTGGATGGAAGATCTTCCTCTCTGTTTCTCTGTATATCTGACTTTCCAATAAAATAAATAAATCTTTAAAAAAAATCTTAAACAAAAAGTAGGTACAAGAAAAAAAAATCTATAGCCTGTTACTAAATAATAAGTGGATAGAATGATAGAATTAAAAGTCACCATTGAAAATTGTAACAGTTGGGCCTGGTGCTGTGGCCTGGCAGCTAAAGTCCTCGCCTTGAACACACCGGAATCCCATGTGGGCGTGCCGGTTCTAATTCCAGCAGCTCTACTTCCCATCCAGCTCCCTGCTTGTGGCCTGGGAAAGCAGTCGAGGACGGCCCAAAGCTTTGGGAGCCTGCACCCACGTGGGAGACCTGGAGGAAGTTCCTGGCTCCTGGCTTCGGATCAGCATAGCACCAGCTGTTGCGGTCACTTGGGGAGTGAATCACCGGACAGAAGATCTTCCTCTCTGTCTCTCCTCTCTGTATATCTGCCTTTCCAATAAAAATAATAAATAAATCTTAAAGAAAATGATCACAGTAGTAAATGTAGCAAAGGAACATCAGAATATCAACATTGATCTGAAAATAGATATCCCCAGAGCACTTACTGATTACAAAGTTAAAAGAGTAACTTTATAGTAGAGAAATCTGATTGATTCTACTTGCTTGGGTAGTGAACTAGTGGATGGAAGGTTTTTCTCTCTGACTCTCCTTCTCTGTATATCTGACTTTGTAGTAAAAATAAAACAAATCTTAAAAAAAAAAAAGAATATGTGCTTGTAAGAAATAGATACAAGTAATAAGCTGGTCAGCAATTTGCTATAAAGTGATTCGAAACAAATTCTTTTATCAGTATTTAAAAATAATGATTTAATGAATTTAATGGGTGGCAGGAACCCAAGTACTTGGACTCAACTTGGACTTCCCTATTATAAGGACTTAATATGTGTGGATTGTATTGGACTTTAGAATTGTGAAATTTAAAATATACCTGTGTTTTCACTAAGCAAATCTTGTCCCTCGATCGAGTGCCTTGTATGTCATCTTTCTTTATTGTTATCCAGACAGTATATGGGCACGTCACTGACTTCCTGACCTTCAGGAGTTTATGGTAGTATTAATAGATCTGATCTGGGTAAAGCAGTGGAGAAGAAAAGTACTACCAGGAAGGAATAAAAGAATGATACGGAGTCAGTAATGAACATGCTCATATACTCGTTCAAGACTGAGGAGATGACGGCAGTGGAAGGCAACTGTTGACTAGGCTGGACCAATTTTTGGAGCATCTTAAAAGCTAGGCACAAGAGACTGAACTGTTTGTAGCAGACAATGGGAAGCCACCCAGTTTTCAAATGGAAGAGTTTTTTAATGAAGGTGACGTTGAAGAAAACAAAAACATTGCTATGTGGGATGAACTGAAGTGAAGAAAGTTCTGGCTAAAGTAGATAAACTGGAAACCATTATGGCTTACTGCATGTGAGGCAATGAAGTCTGCTCGGGAATGGAAGCGAAGAATGACGCCAGCTCTGCTGAAGTCAGGGAGAAGCACCTGAGGTTAGCTGATAGTGAAGCTGAGACTAAAACCAAACTTCAGCATCGTTTAGGGCTGTGTTTAGTCTTGGGAGTTGGAAGTGAGGTGTCGGGGGGAGAGTTTTCTGTAATGGGCAGGAAGTGCTGCCATGCAGTGGGTATCACATGTTTTATCTGTTAGTGGGGCTAAGTGGAATTAGAATTGGGTTCCAGTGTTTTGAATAGAAAATATTTTTTAAAGATTTATTTATTTTTACTGGAAAGTCAGATATACAGAAAGAAGGGGAAAGAGAGACAAAGATCTTCCATCCACTGGTTCACTACCCAAGTGGCTGCAGTGGCTGGGGCTCGGCTAATCTGAAACCAGGAACCAGGAGCTTCTTTGGGGTCTCCCACGCGGGTGCAGGATCCCAAGGCTTTGGACCATCCTCTACTGCTTTCCCAGGCCACAAGCAGGAAGCTGGATGGGAAGCAGAGCTGCTGAGATTAGAACCAGGGTCCATATGTGATTCTGGCATGTGCATGCAAGGACTTCAGCTGCTAGGCTACCGCACCAGGCCCCTAAATGGTGTCTTAACTGCTGTGCCAAACATTCACCCTTAGAGAGTACTAATAAAGAATATAAATTATAGGAGTATCAAGTGTACAGAAGAATTTAAGTGGAGTAAAGGACTGTTTATGAAGGCTGGCAATTTAACTAGGTTTTTCTGAATCAGTGATGTTTTAACAAACATTAATAAGGATATGGGTCAAGCAGCTATCTAGAAGAGCACTGCCAGTAGAGAAATAACATTAAACATTAAGTGTAAATGTTCTGAGGCCCGGCAGGCTTGACTGGACTGGGGAAGGGGCTGCTGAACTACATTACAGTAAGGAAAATGTACTAGGAGGTCAAAAAGGTGGTCAAGGGCTGCAACATGAAGTGTCTGACGGAGAGTATCAAGGACCTTGCCTTTCTCTTCAACAGGAAACTTAGATCACAGGAGTGACACTCCTCTGCTCGCATGGTGGAGGCTGGACTGGGAGGGTACAGAGAGTAAGCCTAGCGGCCAGCAGCTGCCATTGCAGGAGCCCGGGTGAAACAGGCTGATGCTGAAGCTCGTGAGAAGCAGCGGCATTCAGGGCGTATTCTCGGTGTAGAACCAAAAGGCTCTGCTGAGCAGTCAAGAGTTCTGGCCTTCCTAATTAGGGGAGTGGAAGTGCCACTTACGGAAGTACAGAACACGGGGAGGACGGTTTGGACAGGTGCAGTTAAGTTGGGTCTGATTCAGTCTGAGATGCGTATTGGATAGCCAAGTAGAATACTGAGTAAATGGTTGGATGAATGAGTCTCAAGTTCTGTGAAAATTTGGGGTTTAAATTAAAATTTGGGATATAATTTATTTTTTATTTTCAGAAGAAACTATAACACTATAACACAATTACTTTTCTTGCAGACAAAACCTTATACCATGGTTCAGAGGAAGCCCAGAATATTCCCAGTAAGTGTTAAGACTTAGTTTTTTTCTTTTGTTCATTATTTCTCTCTTTCCTTCCCTGTAAATGATCATTGGACTAAAATGTTTCTTTTTTGCTATCAGTTTAAGTTCCTGTTTTATGCATTTTTTAAAATAGTAAATAGTGTGAAGTACCAAGTTAGTTGAAAATGGGAAATAGGTACATTTGTTCTGAATCTTGAGTGAAGACCTTGGACTGTTGTGACTTGAAGGTAACAGATTTTTTCACCGTTGCCGTTTCTTGTACGGTAAAGGACTTCCGAGCACAAACCTGAGCATGGTGATAGCAACTGAACTTCTGTTATTATTTTAAGCCTAGACTCTTATGGCTTTGTCCCTCATTTTCAAGATTTGATCTTAAGCTCCTCTCATCTGTGATTTTAAAATCTGTCCAGGTGTGTTTTAAATTTTATGTTTTGAATATGCTAGTAACAATACTAAATTTAAAATGAGTTCATTCAATGTTAAATGATTATATAGTAGTTTAAATTTTTACTGGCTGGCTGTAAGATTATTGTTAGCATAATAAATACGTTACATTTCTTGTCTAGTCACAGATAATGAATTACCATAAGTCTAGATGATAATTTAAAAAGTAAAATAAAATTCAGTGTTGAGTCTTGCTTCAAGCAAGTAACATTGTCACAACCATCTATTATCTATTGCAACAAGGAAATTCTAAAGAGATTCACCATATTGACTAACCATACTGAAAGCAAACCTGTATAACTGATGTTGGGGCGCAGGGAGTCTCAAGACAGAAATGATCTGCTAGTATTATTAGTTGGGTAAATTTATGTTTATTTAGTAATCCACTTATATATTTGTCCCCCTGTCCACACACATTGTGCTACTTGAAGTAGAGTTACAAAGAGGAAGACAGAGTGAGAAAGAGATTTTTTTCATCTGCTCATTTATTTCCCAAATTCCTGCAATAGCGTGGCCAACCCAGGTTGAAACCCTGAGCTAGGAATGCCATCCAGGTTTCCCGTGTTGATGGCAGAGGCCTAAGCCCTTGTGCCATCATCTGCTGCCTCTGAGGATGCATAAACACCGGATCAGAAGTAGATATGCTGGAACTAGAACCAGGTAGTACCATATGCACTGTGGTGGTCTCAAGTGGCAACTTAACAAGCCATGCCACAACACCGACTGGCAGCTGCACAGCACAGCAGTCAGTCCTTTGTTCTTGGGGACGCTGAAATCCTAGCAACAACATTGTAAAGGCTCTTGTTTCTGGAAAATACTTGAATGAACGCAGATCTTGTTCATTGAAAGGAACACTTGTCCATTGTTCTTTTAAGTCTACAGTTTTGTCCACTGGGTTCCTTACTTTCATTATCAGCCTGGACTACATCTAGTGGTATTAGGAAGCACACCTCCTTAGCAGTTGTGTAGCCCACAAGATCTGCTTTTTGTTCACTGGTTCAGTGCTAGAGTTGTCTTAATTTCATATACTCACATGCTTTTGTGGTTTGATTTATCATCCATTTTTCTTAACATTTGATAAGCAAGGGAGGAGACAACCTTGTAGACATATGTTTGCTTCCAGTCAGTCTCATATGTAGAAAAAACATTCTTTTTTCCATGCATATAATCAATTTTTAAAAACATTTTATTCAAAAGGTAGTTAGAGAGACAGAGATCTTCCATCTGATGCTTCACTCCCCAGATGTCCACAACAGCCAAAGCAGGACCAGTCCAAAGCGAGTCAGGAGTTTCTTCCAGGTCTCTGATGTAGGTGCAGAGGCCCCAGGCCCTAGACCCTCCTCCACTGCCTTCTTAGACTATAAGCAAGAAGTTGAATTGGAAATGGAGCCGCAGGTCTTGACGTAGCACACATGTAGGATGCTGGCATCAAAGGCAGAGGCTTAGCCTTCTGAGTCATGGCACTTGCCCCCATAGTTACTAATCTGTTTGTCCTTACGCAGCCACCTCCCAACTCTGTGGTGGTTACGTGCAGACCTTCTGTTACAGATTGGTTCAAAGGCAACCTTCATATTAGGTTCAACCTGTTCCATTTACTGAATCTTTCTGGGTTTCTGTTGCTTTGACTTTGTTGGGTAAACTCAAACTGTTTAAGGATTCATAAACAGTCTAATATTCCAGTACTACAAAGTCTTGAATTTTTAGATTCTCTCCATTTTAATTTTTCCTGCCAAATGGACCCCTTCTTGTGTGAACTTATTTCTTATATTCCCAAGGCAGTCAAAAATATCCAAACACAAACTGTAACATTCTCCCAGCTATATCTCCTAGAACCTCTAACTACTGTGGTTTGCTTCCAAATTATAGGAAACATTAATTTGCCACTGCCTTTTATTTCCATCTTTTAGCTTTGATTGCCAGAGTCTGCCACCAGACCGCTGATCAATGTCATGTGGTTTAATGCATATTCTAGCAGCATTAGTACCACTTCAAGGCAATCCTTTGTTAGCTTAATAGTAACTGATAAGTTAAGTACTATGGTGGCTTAAAGTAAGTTTATTACATCACATAAAAATTTTGGGAGGTAGTATTGTGGCATGGGGGAGGGGTTTAAGCCACCACCTGCAGTGCCAGCATCCTGTATGGGCACCACAAGTCCTGACTGCTGCATGAGTGATCTCGCTTTGCTGCTAATGCTGCTGGGGAAGCAGCAGAGGATGGCCCAAGCATTTGAGCCTCTGTCACCCATGTGAGAGAATCGGATGGTGTTCCAGGTTCCTGGCTTCAGCTTGGCCCAGGTCCTGGCTGTTGACATTTAGGAAGTGAACCAGAGGATGAAAGGTATCCCTGTGCTCCTCTTTAAAAACAGTTGTGAGCAGTTCCAAGTTGAGGAATGGCAAGATTGAAGGTGAGCATGAGGCTATTCTAAACTAGTCATTCAGGAGCTGTCGGGCTGACAATCTGTTATGTTAGACATGGCTAAAACTGAAGTAATTTTTAGTTCTGTACAGCTGGGGCTAGCAATGTGGTGTTGCATGTTAAGCTGATGCTTGGGATGTCACTGTCCATAAGGGCGCTAGTTTGTGTCCTGGCTGCTCCATTTCCAATCCACCTGCTTGCTAACTGGCCTGAGAGAAAAGCAACAATGATGGGCCAAGTCTTTGGGCCCCACCCACACAGTTTATCTGTTGAAGTTCAAAGCCCGTGCCCTTTCAACCACATACTGTATTGAATAAAGTTTGAGAAACACACCAGGTGCCCAACTAAGGTTTGTAATCTGTCTCCATTGTTTAAGACAAATGGAAAGCTTAAGTGCTTTAGGTAATCAAGTGCTAGGAATACGCTGCACTGCTGTCTTAAATTTAACCTGTTTCCTTGCAGCTTTTTCCTGTGGCTTCTGTTTTTGGGGGGCTTGCGAAATAAACATCCCTTCTTGTCAGGAGATTTTAACACTGGTTGCTCATCTTGAGATAGCCTCCCTATAGAGTTCTTTTAAAGTGAATTCCAGAGCTAGACTTGTTTTCCATTCAAGGTCTGACTAACATTGAGCATAATGGAGCTTCAGCTGCTAAGGATTTCAGATTTTTCTACTAAATGCTTCCTTTTTCTCCTTAGGGTGATACAATTCTGGAGACTGGAGAAGTAATTCCACCAATGAAAGAATTTCCTGATCAACACCACTGAATTTAATTAAAATTTTCAAAAGTGTATAAGCCCAAGTTTGTTCCTCAATCAGTATATTTACTGAATACATTTTAAAAATTTCAATAAAGTTTACTTCCAGAGAAGTGCCATATTTTTCCATAAGTAACACCACATTACTAAACAAATGATATGAGTGACCACTAATTCTGACCCTTCCTGACTTGGAAAACAAGATGTAGAAAAGTAACTTAGTCGCATATATATTTTTTCTTTTACAGTACTTACCTTAATTTGGTGTGTGAAAAAGCAACAAAATGAAATAGTGTAATAAGCACATAAAAGAAAATAAATTTTCAAACACTTGTTTTAAAGAAGGCTTTCTGAGGCATTAAGGCTTTATTCCAGAAACCATCAGAGTAGTTGCTTCGAATCTTGCAAATATAAAACACATTAGTAAAGCATTAGTGCTAATTATAAAGGACCCCCCCCAAAATAAGTTCAGGAACTCTGTATTATCGTTTTTACTTTTTAAAATCCTATGTAGGTGTCAGATAAACATAAGGAATTTGCAGAGAACTAAATTCAATAGAGTTACAAATTTTCATTCATCCCAGGACTTGGGGTACTGTTTCCTCAGCTGTCGCCGTGCGGCCACCGTGGATGCATAGATGACGTATCCCCACGAGAGTAAAACGATGGCAAACAGCAACTGTCAAAAAAGAAAAAAAAAAAAACCGCTAAGACAACCAAAGCAAAAGCGCACGCTTCTTAAACGTGTTTCCCGGCAGCCCCCGTCGGGTGCGGGGCTCCCGGGCGAGGCGGCCGGGGCGCGAACCCTGGGAGCCAGCGGCATGCCCGGGATTCCAGGGCGAGCATTCCCGGCGGCCTCTACGTCAGGAGCGGAAGGCCCTTCCAGGAAGGGGCGGGGTCGGCTGGGGGCGTAGAACGCTCACTGCTGGAGCGGGCTGTGGGGTTACTGGGCGCTGGAGACGGCGGGCCCTTCCGCCCGCGGGCCTGCAGGGCCACCGCGCGCAGCCCCGCCGGGCCCGGGACCTACCGCCGAGTTGATCCAGTCCAGGGTGCGGCGACTCACTGGCCTCATGGTAAGAAGGCGGGCGGCGGGGGCCGGCGGCCGCTGCAGGCCCTAAAGGCGGCTCCCGGGCCGTGGCGGCGGGCGGGCGGCGGCGGCCATCTTGCAGTCGGGCACGAGCGCCCGCCCACCGGCTTCCAGGGGGTTTAGCCAACCGTGCGGCGGGCCACTTCCGCCCGGAACGGGGAGCGGAGAGTTCCGCGGTGCAGGGGGCGCCCAGCCCGCCTTTCGGGGGCAGAGAACGCTGCGAGACAAGCCCGTCCTGAACTGCTCTTTGTCACCTAGACAGCTAGGCTTCCGTATTCCGAAAGGGAAAAAAAAAATTTTTTTTCAGACAGTGTAGTAACTCATGCAGAGTAACGTGCGTTTCAAAGTTTATTTGAAACCTAAGGCACGTTTTCGGTGTGACATGGAGATCTAAAAGGCTGCTGGCCCCCGCAGCCAGCCCGCGCCCCGCTTGGACCTCCCCGCTGTTTACATAACGGGGCCGCGTCCTCGCGGGCGCCCGTCCTGGAGCCCCCGGTGGCCGCCGGGCGCGGCATTTCCACGCAACGCCGGGGCTCGAGTGGGGGCCGGCGGGCGGCGGTTTGGCGCGCGCGGTGGGGGGCGCCCCGCGAATCTTGGGGCGCTCCCGGTTAAGGCCCGGTTCGTCGAATCTGGTGTTCCTGAGCGCCATCATTTCACCCGAGTTTTTGCCCCCTCCCCTCGGTTTCCGCGAGCGGGACAGAAGCCAGCAGCCGTTCTCTGAGAGGAAGCCTCTGCCAGGTGCCGCCCCCTGGGCACTTCGTAGGGGACTGTGTGGGCTCCGGGGCGTTCGAACCCTGGCTAGTCCGGGGCCAAGTCCGTGTTATAGTTCCCTCCTCCAATTCTAGTAACTTCTCTTAAGAGTTTGGTGGCGTTGGGGACCAAGCTAGCAGTCGTGTTCTCTGGGTGGCTTCAGGCGAAGCCGTGCAGCCGGCAACCCTGGAAGCCGCTGGGCTTAAGCAGCCAGGACGAGGGCGAAGGCCGGGCTGCGGCTGCTCAGGCCGCTCGGCTCCCCGGGCTCCCCTGGCTCCTTGGCCGCTCCGGCCGCTCGCTCCGGGCGGAGTGTGGGGGAGGAGGGCGGCTCGGGCCGCGCGCTCAGCCCCCCGCGCATGCGTCGCCCCGGCGGGGGTTGTGTTTTGATGCGCTGTGGGCAGGGCCTCGGCGTGTGTCCCGCCCCCACGCTGCCATTGGTGAAAGGTGTTGTACGTCACAGGGGTCGAAGTCGCCGCCGGGGTCTCCGCTGTCTCGCGAGGAGGCTGAAGCGCCGACGCCGGCTCCAGCTCCTGAGGGGAGGCGGAGAAGTCGCCGGGTCCGCCTTCGCGGCTCCTGCCGTCACCGACCCAGCGTCCAGGGCCGGCGGGAGCTTTCCTCGAGCACCTCAGCGGGGGCTGCGCCGGCGTCCCCCAAGGTGAGTCCGGTCGGGAACAATGGGGCGCGGGGGGAGCCGGCGGGCCGCGGGGCTGGCGGGCGGCGCACCTGTGGCTCGTTGCCGTGGGCGCGGGGAGGTGGTGTTCCACGAGACCGCGTCCTGAGAAAAGTCCAGCCGAGTGTAAATGGTGATAGCGCTCCGACTGGGGTGTGTGACCTTGGCCGGGTTCCCTGAACCCCTGGGCCTGTCTGTGAAGATTGGGAAGGAGAGTGTCTTGGTGGGTTGTGATTATGTAATGCGGATGGTGGCCCTGTGGCCGTGGCACTTCTCAAGCAGAAAGCAGAGAAAGCGGCTGTCAGCGTGGCTGTTGGAGGTGCCCGTGCAGCGTTACACTTCCTAGGCTGGGCTGGCCCGTGTGCAATTGCCCGGTCCACTTGGTGCGGCCTTCCCCGTGGGCTGCGCGTTGGTGGGCTGGCAGGGGACAGTTCTGATTGAAGGGTGATGGTTATCTAGTCGTCACAAACTGTCCTCTGTGTGGGCATGGCTAATCGCCACCGGAATGAGCCTGATTTCCAAATAATGTGAACAGTGTGTCCAGCTACTCCTAGTACACCGCTTTATGTGAAACATGTGCCTTCACACCACCACCTTTTCAGGTGGATTCTTCTCCATTTTAGAATTGAGGAAATTTTAGCTTTTGAGCAGTAACGTCTTGTAGGTCATGCAACTCAGAAGCGGTGCTGATTATAAAAAGTATACTGTACAGCAGTCCTGCTTCGTTTGCATCCTTACAGTTTTCCAGCTTTCCCATCTGTGATGAGGTAAAAGTCACTGGATTCTATGTCTCTCTTACTCATTTTCTCCACACCTGTGTGAGTTTTAATTACCAGAATTTCCCCTCCCATGTGAGATGAACTGTTCTTGTTAAAAACCAGCAGATTAGAAGATTTAGACAGGGAAGATGGGCTTAATCAGTTTATCTCAAAGATGGACTTTGTTTTGGATCTGTGGAACCTTTAGGAGGTAGGATCAGAAGAATCCCCTTTGGGGAAACTTAACTTCTAGTCCTTACTGCTGGAGTGCTAGGGTAGCGAAATCTTAATGCAGGTTTTTATCTAGATCTTGAAGGCACTGAATGTGTCTGCCGTCAAGTAGGCAGAGATTTACAATCTAAAACCAGCACCTCTTGAAAATCTGGAGGTCTTAAACTGTCACCTAGCAACCTGGATGATACTGAATTTGTATTTTTAAACAGCTTTATTGAGATATTATTTCAGTTCCATTCATAACATTCACCTGCTTTAATTATGTAACTCAGTGGGGTTTTTTTGTGTATTTATAAAATTGTGATTCCATCACCATAATCAGTTTGTAGAACATTTCCATCATCCCAGAGAGAAATCTTACTACTGCCTCCAGTAACCACTGGTGGTCTTGCTGTTTGTATAGATTTGCTTAATCGGGACATTTTGTATAAAAGGTATCGTACAGTATGTGGTCTTCTGTGTTTTTTCTCCTGACTTAGTATTATGAAGGTTCACCATGTTGTGGTCATGGATAAGTGCGTTACTTTTTCTGTTACCAGATAATTTTCTGGATATGGATAGACTACATCCTGTTAATCCATTCGTTTTTACTTTCAAGCTATTGTGACTAATGTTCCTGTAAATATTCACATAAAGTTTGGACAAGTTTTCACTTCTTTTGGCTGGACATTCAGGTGTGGAATTGCTAGCTAATATGCTAGTTCTACTTCATTTTAATCTTAATCATGTTTCTGGAAAGATAAGTCCTTTATTTGATATTCTTACATTGTCATCATCTGATAATTCTGAGAATACATTCTCTGAAGCTAAATAATGTATTTATTATAATATATTATTATCTGTGTAGAAATATAAGAGAGAACACTTATTTGCTCCTTAGGTGTTATGGAAGATATTACAAGTTAAGTCTTTAGCCTTATTGTTGAAGGTTTTTTAAAAGCAGGGAAGAGACTTGACCATTTTGTTTTATTTTAATTTGAGTTTCCCACTAGTAATTTTTTTAAAAAATCATGTTGTCAGTTCTATATGAACTAGAGATGTTTGACTAAGCTGAAACAAACTAAAATAATACAGAATTAAAATTTGCCAGTCTTTTTTTCTAGTTCTGATAATTTATCATTTCATAGAGGGGAAAAACTAAAACCTAGAGTTAATGTAGATTTCTCTGGTTTAAAGAACTAGTCTAAGTGGAAAACTGGTTTTCAATCCAGGTCTTCTGATTACCTGTCTAGTTCCCATCTTTCACTTTCTAACCCCGCCCTTCAATACTTTTATGTTCCTAAAGCTTTTACCTGTTGTTTTATTCCTGAGTGAAGAGAAAACATTGTAATTAGGGAGAATGCTGGGAAATTTAGGTTGTATAAATATTTAAGAGCTTGCAATTGGCTTCCTGTGTTTATAATTCTCTTTTCTCAGATTTATAAAGTATTCTAGTACAGGAATTGAATATTCTAGAAGGTAGATGTTTAAAGCATCCTTGAAGAAAATGCTTGGTCTTCCATGAGAGCGAGAGAGGGTTTGAGTCCTCACTATACTTGAAGCAGCAGGTGATGGCCCAGTACTTGGGCTCCTGCCACTTATATGGGAGACCTGGATTGACTTCTGGCTGCTTTTGTATGTTCGGCCCCAGCCCCTGGTTGAAGGCATTTGTAAAGTAAGCCAGCAAATGGGAAATTGCTTTTTGTCTGTATCTGACTGTATGCCTTTTTCTGTCTTCCAAGAAGTTAAAAAATACATAAGAGCTTAAAAATGAATAAACATTAAAAAAAATTTTAGGACAGCGGTAGTTTTGTATTTGATTTCCAGAAAAATAGAAGGTTAGAAATATTTGGACCACCAAAGGAACATTTGTTAAGCATTAATCTTTATTAAGTCATTAGTCTGAGAAAGTCAACGTGCCTTGTGAAGAACTTTACTTTGAAACTAAAGATGGGTGTCCTTGTATTTAACAGCTTTGGTTATGGGTTCTGTTTATTTTCTATTCATACAGCTTAGAACCAGTAAAATTTAGGAAATTGTAATGTTATTTGAGTAACTTGGATATCAATTCTGTTATTCGACTAAGTTGATATCAGTTGACCAGTAATGGGATTTTCTGTGGTAGAGGAGGTGGAAGAAAAGGAATAATAGGCCCTCAGAAACAAAAAACTAATGTTTATATGCAAAATAGGGCCGGGTATAGTAGCCTAGTGGCTAAAGTCCTCACCTTGCACATGCTGGGATTCCATATCAGCACTGGTTCTAATCCCCATGACCCCGCTTCCCATCCAGCTCCCAGCTTATGGCCTGGGAAAGCAGTAGAGGATGGCCTAAAGCATTAGGACCCTGCATTTGTGTGGGAGACTGGAAATAAGATCCGGGCTCCTGGCTTCGGATTGGCTCTGCTCCAGCCGTTGTAGCTGCTTGGGGAGTGAATCATTGGGTGGAAGATCTTCCTGTTTCTCCTTCTCTGTATATCTGACTTTCCAATAATAAATAAATAATAAATGCACCTATATATACACGCACAAAAAAATAATTAGCATAGAATATAACCAAAGAAGGAGTAAAGAGGTAACAATTGTAAAATACTGGATTTGCCAAGCTAGGTTTCTTACAGTTTCATTTCTAATACTGTTTCAAATAGTATTAAATTTCAGCTCTAGCTGTAAGTTGTAAGCCTATGTAAGTAAACTGAAAAATGTAAAGAAAACAAAGCTAATATTTAAGATTCTAGTAGTGATCCTTCTGGGAAAATGTAATAGGGTAAGAAACTGAAACATGATTTCAGGATACCTTTGGATTGACTTTTGTATTCAATAAATTTAAAAAACAAGGAGGGCATTTTTAGAAATGCTGAAAGGAATCGGTGGCTACCTGATTATAATAGTACAATAACAATAGTATAATAGGTATAATAATAGTACCCAGCAGTCACTATGAGT